GCACTGCCGGTTTTTTATCAAATTTTAGGATTTTCAGTGCGTCTTATAGTCGTGAAAATACGGTACTTACACCAATAATAGCCAACAACAAATCCCAGCCAATGTCTTCTATATAATGCCCATAATCATCCAAAAGAAACCCACATTTCCAGTACTTCTTAAGATTAAAACAAAGGCAAACTTTTGGAATAAACTTTTATTAAATCAGACTTACCTGTGTATCTTTATCAACTCCAGCCATGAAAATCTGCTTGTATTTGTCCTTAAAGGCAAAGTTTAGGGCTTGAGTTGGGAAATATCGAATAACATTGGCAAGATTGCCACGCCAGTAACTGAGAAATCCTAGATAGAAGATTTTAAAATGTATAGGGTTCCCATTTTAAATAGTTTAAAACTGCATAACTATACTTTTTACTGAAACTTTTTCAATTTATTTCAAGTTTAAACACTTAAAATAAATCAAAAACATTTCAAAAATTAAGTTACTAGTGAACAACTTTAAAATTTATATTGTTTCCAAAGTCAATGCTTAACTTTTGAATTATAGATTTTTCTAATCTTAACTATTTGATAACTAAGCTTACATCTAGGACTGAGATCAGAAATGGCAACAAAATTAATTAATAATTAGTTGAGATCTATACTGTGCTGTTCTCGGAACCATTCCAACATGTTTACACCATTCTTACTCTATATCTAAGACATGTAAGAGTTGCTTTGAACTGCAAGATGGTGGCAAATACAGTAAATTTGATGGTGATGATAATTATGATGATGATAATAATAATAATAATATACAATATAAAAAACATAATATCAATTGCATAATTACAATAGAACTCAGAGTTGTATATATAAGATCCATTTTATTTACAGCAAAACCTCTCATTACAAGATGGTATTGTTCTTAACATACCTCTCAAAAATCTGCTGAAAAAAATAAAACAGGCTGTGATGGCTTTTTGTAAAATCCAAGTTTTAGAATATGCAAGGCAAATTGACTAGAAATGGGGGGGGGTCACCAGTTGATCCATATGACTTTATGATAAGATGGTATCAACATTAATTTGTGTAATATTTCCAAAATATGAGCAATTTATGGAGTACTAGTTTTGAACACTATAGTTTACTACTGTATTTTATCCCATCAGTTTACCAAGAGCTTCCATATAGTTCTCAATATTAGGAAGCACTAAACTTGTTTAAATATGAGCACAAATTTGGCAAAGGCCTGGACAACAGTAAGGATTAAATCTTTACAATGAAGCCAGTTCTATGTGATGACATTCATATGGTTTTCAGTGGTATAGCTACGTGATGGTGAACCTATGCGCATGCCTCCCACTGATCAGCTGATTTTCGGGTCTCCACTGTGCAAGCGGATGGGAGGAGTGCGTACATTTGCAAAGGTGATTGCACATGTATGCACGGGGGGAGGGGAAGCGTGGGGGTCATGCACACATGCGCAAGGGGGCTGGTGTTGTGCACGCATTGCATTATGGGTGTTGGCACACATGTTGCATGGGGGAGGGGAAGCGTGGGGGTCATGCACACATGCGCAGGGGACTGGTGTTGTGCACGCATTGCATTATAGGTGTTGGCACACACGTGTGTACTGTCGCATACGTCCGTGTGCTTTTGGCATGCAATCACAAAAATGTTAGCCATCATTGGTGTAGCTGATTTTACTAAGCTTAGAGTTGTAGGATGCCCATTTGCTTCTTTGACAATCCACAATTAAGAATTTGAGTATATTTGATCACAACAAACATACGCACAGATACACACACACACACACACACACACACACACACACAC